TCATTGAGATGAGGGTTCTTTTTTGATGGTAACTTTTACCGTGTTTGTCTAACACAGCCTTTGTGACAGTCTCTTCATCATACTCCACTCGGTGTTTCAAACCCCATGCCTCAATACGTCGACGGATGGTACGAACACTGATCTTGATTTGATGACTTCTCCAGATGTTGTCGGATACCGATTGTGCTGTCCACTTGTTGTTATGAGCTTGTTCTAGAATAGGTTGTAAGATATCATCTGAGATTTCAATTTGTCCAGGCATGATAACAGTAGTTAGATGATGAAATGGAGAGATTGATGATTGATAGAATGGATTGGATAATATGTGTCAAAGTGACAAGTGAATGTGGTTTTTGGGTGGTATGAGGACGTTGCTGGGTGAGAATCAAATTGAAGAGGGAGAGGTAGGTTAAGAGTGATTATTTCTGTAAATTCTGATTAGGTTTTGTGTCTTCCTGGAGTAATGATTGTGTGATTGGTAGGTTTTGGCTGCTGAGGTTGTCCTGTGGTCCAGTTAGGTATTGGGTTTTGTTGTTTTATACATATGTGAAGTTTGACATGATGAAAATCGATTTCTTGAAATTTTCATGTAATATTTGTGCCAAAGTGCCAAGTTGGTGGTCAATATTTGAGTTGTGGTCTGGAAATTGTGAAAACTGGCAGAAAGATAGGTTTTATCCCCAATACAGGCGGTTTCAGACCAGTATTGGGGTTAAATCTGATGTTTATTCCAGTTTTATCAATTTCTGACCCGGGGATTCTGAAATTTCAATTTTTGAAAATTGAATTGTCACTTTGACACACCTCGCATTCCGTAGGTGAACAAATCGGCTAGGAGAGAGATGCCCAAGAACGTGTTGGAGGACTTGTGGGAATGGAAGAGGACACTCAAGGATTTCAAAAACAGGAAACTGGTGCCAAAGAGGAAGGCTGTGGACGTCGGATGGGTCGGAGACGCCTCAACCGACTTTGGGATAGGAGTAATGGTTGGCAGTAGGTGGAACCAATGGACGTTGAGACCAGGCTGGTCAGATCGAGACGCGCTAGGGGTCAAGCGTGATATCGCGTGGGCAGAGCTCGTAGCGATACGCCTAGGTCTTGAAGTCGCAATAAGAGCAATAAGTGTTGAGGGAAAACGTCTACTGTTCCTAACAGACAATACCACGGCAGAGGTGGTGGTTCGAAACCTGAAGTCAAAACATGTAGCAGTGAATAACGAGTGGAGAAAGATCCAAGTCCGATTGGCGGAGGTAGACTGCGACTTGGAAGAGAAGCGGGTTACGTCAGGACAGAACGAAGCCGACGGACTGTCGAGAGGAACGGACAACACCAAATCAGAGAACAACAGAATCAGTTTTGAACTACCAGAGGACTTGAAAGAATACCTGGAAGAGAGCAGAACGGACAGAAGTAGGAAGCGAGATGGAAAAGACAAAGAAACTTAGCTTCAAAATGATAGAAGACGGGATAAAAGACAAAACAAAGTTGCAAGTGGCGAGACACATGGTAGGAGGAACCTGGGCGGAGAAGACGCTACAGGGATACGGAAGCGCAGTGACAAAGTACAGGGAGTATATCGAGAGCGAAGGAAGGAAGTGGGAGACCGCTATACCGCTAGTGGCACAAGACGTCTACGGATTCCTGGTATGGGCAAGCGCTTCAAACTCAACAAAGGAAACGTCAGCAAGGAGAGTGGTGAAATCCAAAACCTTAGAGAAGTACCTAGCCGGTCTCCAAGCATGGCAAATGGCAGCAGAACTAAGACCCCCAGATCTCGACTAGCGAATGATCAAGAACATATTGAAAGCGTCAGAAAGAGCGGAGGAGAAGATCCTGTTGACAGAAGAAGAAAAGGACGAGGGAGTTAGAATAGAGAAGATGCCGGTGACCATCAAACAGATATCTCACATTGTATTCAATTTTGCTGGGAAAGACGAGCTGGACGAGCTCATATCAACGGCGACACTGACAGCCTTCTGGGGGATGATGAGATTAGGGGAGCTGACGAGGCAATCACGCAAAGAAGGCATGATAGTGGTAGACGACTTGAGATTTGAAGGAGAAAGAGACAAGAAGGTGGCGATAATCACTCTCTGGAGAGCGAAGACGGCCAAACCCGGAAAGACACAAGAAGTCAGGTGAGTACACTAGGCAGTGAGACGAGTCAGCAAGCGGTCACTGACGAAAAGAAACAGGTTGGAGACACAGTGTTCGGTCTTAGATCCCGTGGCAGCGTTAGAACAAATGTTGGATAAGATACCAGGGAGGAAAGGGTCGGATGCTTTGTTTGGTTTAGGAGCGGGAAGGATCAGACAGCCTTTGAGCAAGGACCTATTCATGAGTAAGGTGGCTCAAATCTGGGGTAAGAGTAGTACGAAAGATGGACTATGGTCAGGCCACTCGTTTAGAGTGGGGGGAGCTTCATTGCGATGGAATCTAGGATGGAGCAAAGAGCGAATCATGAAGGCAGGTCGATGGGAGTCAAGTGCAGTAGAGACATATCTAAAAAACTACACGCAGTGGGAACTAGAAGAGACAAAGAGGCTGATGCGAGCAATTGATAATAGAGATAAGGTTTAGAGGATCAACAGGAATACAGCCTGTTCCAAGCGGTACAGGTACAATCAATTTGAAATATACAAGGGGGTACACAAACAGGAATCGGATCAACACACTGCCGAGAACCTTGAGGCGCGCAGTAAGTAGAACCTCAGCAGAGCGAGAACTACAGTAACCCCCCCTCTTTGCCCCTATGCGAGGAAGTAAGAAGAAGGGCAGAGAACAGCGAGGCATCCCTGAGAGCTCTGGGGCAACTTGACGGGTCGAGACTCACAGGGAGCCCCGACAACTGGGAGGACGATCTGCCCAAGAACCATACAAGGAGCACGCTGTTCAGTCCTGGAACAGACACAGTTTGGGAAGCGAGAAGTTTTTCTCAGCGACGCAAACCTGGAGGCTCGGCGGCGGCGCCCCCCCCGTACCTTAGGATAAGGTAATCATTACACTATCCTAAGGGGGAGGGATGATAAATCCCGAACCTGATGTAATATACATCGATATCACAACCCCAGTAGGAATGGAATAAACACTTTTTTTGCTGACAATGGTCTAGAAGATGTTTACCCCACCCAAATGCACTTCTCTCCCAATGTTCATAAGATGATGTCTATTGTGACCAAGTGATTTGGGACATTTGGGACATTATTCTTTGGTTTTTTACAACTTGTTTGAAAGTTCCCCATAGTTTTAAAGGGAACAATCAAGGACATTATTATGGTGGTGATTATTATTTGTACCAAGAAAAGATAAGGTGAGTTGCGGCTTTTAACCAAAATATAAAGTCGTTGTGAGAGGAGCTAATTGAAAGGGGTTCTTTCTGTTTGTTGATCTGACAAGGAA